TGATAACCATTTTGACGCATATCTTTAAAGCTTAATAAATTTCTCCGCGATTTGCTGGAGTATAAAGCGTCATTTATAAGTAATTTTGTCCCATTAGGGAGCATCACATATGCTTTCCCAGAGCCTTCAATGAGCTTCGCAACACCTGATATTGTATTGACTTTAGCTTCAACTAAAGTCATTTGAGAAAAATATATTTTATTCCTTAAAATGGTGTGCGTTGTGGCGCTGTCTATCAGACATAGCTCTTTATCACTTGAGTGATCCATATCTTCAATATATAAATAAGCATAAGTTTGATATGCAAGTGACAAAAATTATGCATCATATATAACATTAAAGTACATATATTACATAATTTATTTATGATAACAACGTAAAAGAAAAAGTACATAATACATGAAAACATAAACTACTACTACCTCCGTCCCTTAAAGGTTTGCCACATTTGACCGGCACGTAGAATAATAAAGTAAAAACTGTGTGGTAGAGATTTGTGCAGAGGAGAGAGAAATAACATGAGCCACAAATTGATTGATTAAAATGGAAAGTGGCAAAGTTTTTGGGACAACCAACAAAGGAAAGTTGGCAAAGTTATAAGGGACGGAGGGAGTATTTTACAACATTCAAAAGTCTTATAATTTATTTTGTGTTATTTTGATCATTGGCAAAAGCATCGTCCATTATGCTATCATCCATGAAGAAGTCGGACACATCGAATTTTGGCAGAGATGGAGTTGTGTCATTGACATAATTCGCTTCCACATTTTTGCCTTTGTTTAAATTCATGGAAGCTTGAAATAACTCCACAAGATGCTTTGCAGTACGGCATTTGTTAGCCCAGTGTCCCGTCATGCCACATTTGTAACAAGTCGTCTTCACCGAGGGTTTTGTAGGGCGATTTGTTTGATGGGTTTTTTGTTTGCCCTTGCCCTTGTAATTTGGTCTTTCGACCCGTTTATATCCTCGGTGGGACTTGTTATTATGACCATTAAAATGCCCACGTTTAAAATGCCTTCTACTGCCACTGTGTGTTGCATTTGTTTCAGTGGCTAAATTATGGCCAGATGGACCATAAACTGAAGGACTAGTGGGTCTCAGATTATGATTTTTCATCAAAAGGTCATTATTTTGCTCAGCGACCAATAAAACTGATATAAGGTCAGAGTATTTCTTAAAACCCTTTTCTCTGTATTGCTGCTGTAGCAACATATTAGAAATATGCATTGTAGAAAAGGTTTTCTCCAACATATCAGCATCAGTGACTTTTTGCCTACATAACTTTAGTTTGGATGTTATTTGGAACATAACAGAATTATAGTCACTGATATATTTAAAGTCCTGAAATCTTAGATTGATCCAATCATATTGAGCTTTAGGCAAAAGGACCTTTTGCTGGTGGCCATACCTCTCCTGTAAATTGTCCCATAATTCTTTTGGGTCATCAACCAAAAGATATTCAGATTTGAGACTTTCATGGAGATGGTGACGGAGAAAAATAATAGCTTTCGCTTTGTCTTGGGCAGATGACGGCTTATTTGCCTCAATAGTGTCTTCAAGACCATTAGCCTTCAAATGTGCTAAAGCATCAACTTTCCATTCCATGTATTTTTGTCCAGACAGATCAAGAACATCGAATTCTCTTTTGCTTATATTTGCCATAGTACTACAAATTATTGGTTTTAAAATTAATTAGTAAAATTGTAAATAAGAACATTATTTGTTCCGTAAAAGCTAATAAATGTATTAATTCATGTCGATTAAATTGAATCATGTTTTAATTTAGAAATTGGAGTAATACGGAGTAACTTTTATTCTATTTGTTTAAATATAGATGAATCTGTAAGACAAAGGCATTTGTAATCATATACTCCATACTATCATGATACGTATTATTAGTCTTCGAAGTATTACCCTTTTAATCAACTTTATGCATTCATTTGGATCAAAATAACTAGGTGTTAATCCAAAGTTAGTTAATTACATATACATAATTCTTTACTGGTTCGTATCATTTAAGAGTAACAAAGATACAAGCTTAAGTTTATGTGCACTGTATTGATACTAAACCATTAATTTACACAGTATATACCAACGTTCGTATAGACCATGATAAGTTGTGGTCATTTACTAATCTATCATTATTTTAACAAAAACGGTCTTTGGTGCTAAGTGCTAACATACAAAACACCGAACGATTTTTATTTTCCAAAAATTGAAGTGGAAAGCATGATAATGATAAGGATAAAATAAACTGATAGAGTGTGAATAATTTTGTCTGGTATGTACTACGTATCAAAGACCCGTGAACTCTCCAGCTAGCCTAATCTAGTTGCTACGTTTCTCTCGTGACTACTGTTGTCAAGTTGTCATTAATTTTCTTTGTTTGTTTTATGCATGCCATCTGACTCATACTTCATATACGTAGTATTAATATACAAGTGTGCTACCACGTATTTTATTTGCCCATACAATTTTGAATGTTCTAGGCCCATACAATCTACTTGAGGTTATAATTTATTTATCCACTATCTCTCACCGTTTCATCTCATTTATATACTCTGTATGTCTAAAAGAATAGACTTCTAGTTTGTTTCTAATCCATTCATTGTCTACTCCATTTCTTCCATACTCCGTACTTGCTAAAAATTTATAGGAACCAGTATTGTGTTTCTAAAACTCTCCTCATATCATATCATTTTCTCCTTCTCCTTTATTAGTTATCCACTGTATTCTTCAAAGAATAACTAATAAGTGATGTACTCATGATTATGGTGCTTTTATTTTATCAGAAGAAATCAATCATGCAAAGGTATGTTATCTGTGTACATTTTCTATTCGAATATGATAGAAGATTTTATTTAAAACTCAGAATAATTTTCTGATTTGAATATTAAAAGAAGATAACATATATTGATATTAATACCTGCAGGAGATGATGATTTCTTGAAATTTTTTGAGCAGATTCGTGCTGATAACGTGTTGTGAAATGAAGAAGATTCGTGCTGATAACGTGTTGTGAAATGAAGAAGATGAAGAACAGATTTAAGAGATAGATATATTATTAATAACCTCTAAATAACTTCTTCTTTATCTCTGAGATTTCTGAATTTCTGAATTTCTAAGTGCATTTACAAGGCATCACCAAACCCCTATTTATACTGATGGAGCTTGGTGATGAATCATCAAAGAATCATTCTACATAATATGCTGGCAACATTAAACCTAGCCATCTGTTTATTACAAGGATGGAAATTGGATTAGTGTCCTGATGACAAGGATGAACAATTCACACTTGTCATTCTCAGGAATTTACAACATTTTTAGATTTAATTTGTATTAGTTTCTCTTTTTGTCATCATACAAATAGGATCACATATTTGTCAATTCAGAACTTAGAAATAATATTAATGTCATCCTTTCTTGTAAATTCAAAATGTTGCAAATTTTGAGAACGAAGGTAGTATTAAATTGATGAAAATGAAAATATAAAAATTATGTCTATTTATATGATATGTCATCATACGTTAATGTGATTGGCATCATACCTAATACTTAATGCGATTGCTTTAACTCTATTAGGAGATTTTTCTTTAAAATAAATAAATCACTTTTTAAATTTAGTAACAAATCATAAAACTTGACTCTTTAATTAGAATACTAGCGCAGAAGTGATGATGATAATATTTCTCAATAATGCTAGGTGTGCACAAAATGTGTACACCTTTGACATACCCTACATATATAAAGGCATAAAGCCCCCCTCCCCCTCCCTCTCTCTCTCTCTATATGAAAATCTCATCTCACTTTATCTTTTTTCTCTTATTTTCATCACCTTAACCTCCACCATCACCATCTTGATCTTCCTCATTCCATCTCCATCTCGGCATCTCCATCATCTTCCACTTCCATGTACCTCGGGATATTCATCACCCTCATCTTTCACCATCTTCCATATTCATGACCTCATCATTTTTACCATTATCACCTTTTAGGATCGATTGGAAAAAAGAAGTTGAGAGTCTTTAGAAAGTCATCGGAAAATTAGAGATGAACGTTCGCCAGAACTTTTGTATGTGTACACAGACACTGGTTTTTTCAATGTTCACCTGTGTGTGTGCTGTGTTGCTGTATACACATTCGGGGTGCTGTGTTGCAAAAAATGTTGTTAAGGCACATAAACAAAAATGTTAGTTATAGACAAAAAGTATTCAAATTGTCTATGTACAAACAACTAAATGTCTCAAAAAGTATTCAAACATTTGGTTTTGTGATGTGCTGCATAAATGAAGAATTTGATTGCATAGAAACCAATGTTTGTACAAAGATAATTTGTACATTTTTTTGTGTAACATTTTTGTATGGGTACAAAGACATTGAAAAACCAGTATCTGTATACCCAAGTAAAAACTTTGGCGACTTTCCAACAACTCAAACTTATTTTTTCAATCCCAAAAGTTGATAATGGTGAAAATGATGAAGTGATTAATATGGAAGATAGTGAAAATGAGAGAGGATGAATATAGTGAGATAGATGGAAGCGAAAGATTGTGGAGATGAGATGGAAAATTGTGAAATGATGTTAGTGATGAAAGATGGAACAATATAATGGAGAGGAGATATGATGAGGGTGTTTGGAACTGATTCTGCTTCTGCTTCTTTTTTAAAAGCAGAAGCAGAATCAGAAACAGTTTTCAGAAGCTGGTACCCCCAGCTTCTAAAAAAACTGATTCTGAGAGTAAATTAGAGATCTAGAAGTGCTTCTGGAATTTCACCCAAACACTCCAGCTTCTGTTTCTGCTCCCTGAAGGAGCAGAATCAGTTTTGAGAATCAGATCCAAACACCCTCGATGATGGTGAAGATGTAACTTTTTGTGTACCAATAACATTTTTGCATTTCTAGGTTTGAACCTCCCGCGAAGCCGTTAAGATTAAACGAACCACGACTTCCGGATAAGGCACGTATAAATACCACTGAGTTCATTTCAACCATGGGTCTAAAAATGGCGTCTCCCCCAGTATTCGCTGACTACTCCAACCACTTCCTTGCTCCGCTCAAGCCTTCTCCGCAAAATTTCAGCTCCGCCATTCTTCGCCGCCTTTTCCGAACTGCCTCCACGGCGACGAGAAGGAGGCTGACCCACCGTTTGGTTGTCAGGACGTCTCTTGATCGCCGCTCTTTCATCGCCGAGTCTGCGGCCGCTGTTTCTCTCTTTCCTTATGTCGGCTTCTCTCCGGCTAGAGCTGTCAACGAGCAGCTGTCGGAGTGGGAGAGGGTTTACCTGCCTATCGACCCGGGCGTGGTGCTTCTAGACATCGACTTTGTACAGGACGACTTCAAACACGGTCCGTTTTAGCTCAGTTAGAGTCTTGAAGCATAAAACGTCCAAGTTTCTAATTTTCTTCGATCTTTCATGTGATTTCATCATTGCATTCCTGAATGGTTTGCAAGTTTACAGCAATGAGAACTCTCTGTTTTTTTTACATTGGGTTATTTTCTTCCAGTTATTTCCACTATAAGTGGAATTTTGAGTTTTAGGCGAAAATTTCTTCCTCTCTTATAAATCAATGAAAAGTTTGTGGTCAAGTGTGTACTTGGTGTCCATCAAGGGAGCCTTGTGCATGGGGGACTACCTTTTCTTTATACACCCCGAATGTCCATTCTTCCTAGCTTGATTTGATGATAATAAACTGTGTTTGGTGTAACGGAATGTGTTGATTACTCAGCTTAACTCCAAAATTGTTCTAATATTGTTTGAACAGTTATCAATTACTTGTATGCCGTGAGCATATATGATGCTCTTTGCATATCTTGCTTATCAGGCGTATGCCCTTTGTGTATATAATAATGATATATGACGTTGAATATTGGAGGGAGTGTGTATGCTTTTCTGTGGAACTGAGTTGGAGATCATTTGATTCTATAGTTTAACCCAGTGACCAATAATGGCACATTAATCATTACAGGCTTTCTGTTGGGGACTAGACAAACTATTTTGGAAACTAAGGATGGAGGAAACACCTGGGTATCACGATCTATTCCCTTAGCAGAAGAGGAAGATTTCAATTATCGTTTTAATTCAATCAGCTTCAAAGGGAAAGAGGGGTGGATTGTTGGAAAACCCGCCATATTGTTGCATAGCTCTGATGCTGGGGAAAACTGGGAGCGGATACCATTAAGCTCTCAACTACCTGGTGATATGGTAAGCATATTCTCTTGATCTGTTTCTCCTTATTCTATTTAAACAAATTTACTTGTTGTGATAGCTATTATATTGAATTTTTTGTAAATCTGTATACAGTGCTAAGTGAGCATTTTAGTTCTGAAAGGGAAGAGTAAGTAACACTGTAGTGTTTGACTTGAAATTCAACAACTCTCTCATGAAGTTGGGTCACTAACTTTAAGCGCATTAACTTTCTAGGGTTATAGAGTAGCTTTTTTAATAGTCACTTTTGTTCTTCTTTGCACAATTTAAACCTCCAAATTAAACTTCCAACGACTTTATTATGGAGCCATGCTCTTTAAACTGTGAATCTGACCTATTTTATATACTTGTATCCTTAGTCCTGCTGGCTAGCTGGTTCTTAGACTTGTTAAATTAGTTCTTATCCACATTGTTCTGTAAATGTGAACAAACTTACCCTTTCAAAGGATCTAAAACACAGACAGAAAAATTACTGATAAAGAGAGTCACAGTTGAGGTGAAGTCAATAATTTGCTACTTTGTCTTTTGAGATCTGTAATTTTTTTAGTGCATAGAACATAGCTTTATTTAGGCTTATCTAACCGCTTTGAGTTTCTTAAATTTTAGTATTATTATTCTTGTAGTGGTAGTAGTTCTTGTTGTTTTTGCTATTGCTGTTATAATTGATGATGATACCTTCGATGTTTCTTGGGTTTCTCTGAAGTGGCACCTTCTTATGATTTGTCCATTGATATTACTACACTCATAGCATGATATGATGAGAAGTTAAGGAAGATGAATGATCTCTTTTGCTTTGCGATCTCCTTTTTGATTCTCTGAATTCCATTGATCTCAAAGTAATATGTATGTTATTTGCAGGTATGTATACATGCAACGGGTGAAAACAGTGCGGAAATGCTAACTGACGAAGGTGCTATATATCTTACATCAAATAAAGGTTACAATTGGAGGGCTGCTGTGCAAGAAACTGTATCTGCTACACTTAACAGGTAACCTATTGGCATGTATACTCTAGCAATAAACTAGATTATGCTTATATTTTCCAATGAAGTTGTATGAGTTTAAGATTTGGTTGGGATTTTGTTGAGGTACTGAACTCCCTACATTCGGGTTTGCTTGATAAGTTGATATTCCAATGCCTCTTATTTATATGGATAAATTTATGCATGTATTGTTCCTTGGCAGAACTTAATCATATAAGGAGAGTATACAAAGTCCAATATAGTACTGCTACACTACTACTAAATAAAAGTCCTAAACTGATTCATCAACTAACTCACCAATCAAATACTACTAAGATATCCTTCCAAGTCCTATGTGTTTGGAATTTACCCGTTTTACTCCTTTTGTCTCAAGTCCTTTGTATGGAATTTTACGAAGTCCATCTATCTTTCCATACTCCCTCTGAGCAACAAATTGAGGAGGTTGCTCTATGTAGGCTTCTTCATGAAGGCCTCTATTTAAAAAAAAAGCATTATTTAAGTTATTTATGTTAAGTTGATGCAGGGGGGGCAATTAGAAACATGAGAAAAAGTGCTGGAATAATCAACCTAATGAGTACGGGCATAACCCTTAGCTATATGATGAGCTTAGGAATGAGCAAAGACCCATCGGAGTTAGCCTTAACAGGAAACACCAATTTGTACCCTGTTAGCAAGGATGTCATACGCAAACAACTGAGAACATGGGGATAAATAGGAGAAATCAAGTTAGACAAGGAACTGTAATTTAACCCATAATCTGATAATCTGCTATGTAGAGCATATCCAAAGCAAATGGTAGTCGAGATATAGGTCTACTAATAGGTCTGCTAAGATGAACATTTTAGCACTACCACTCAAGCTGGAGACATATATCACATGTTCCAAGAAGCTTGTTGCATAAGACCTGACCTTTTTTGGCACAGCTAGGATAAGAAGTCCTTGATTGTTTCCGAGCTAGCATGGCTTGAATTTAACTGATAAAGGCATGTCGAAGAGAATCCTGCAGTAATTGGTTTAACTTGTATATGAACATATATGCATACACAGGAGGCAATCCGCCCACTCTTAGTAGACAAATAACACAGCACACATATCATACGCCTAAAGCTACTAAACCTGTTTACGGTCTATAGTAATACTAACAGTCAACATTATACTTCAGTCTTCAGCCTTCAAAAGTTCTATACACACTAGGCTCTTGTGGTTATCTAATTCAACGTCCTTGTCATCTTTGGATATAGCTTATCACATAAATCTTGAGTCTTTCTAGTCTAGTTTTATATTATCTTCCCTTTCTCTCATATCATCGTTTCCTCATGTGCATCAGTCACCTTTATGACCATCTCATCTTTAGTTGTTTAAACATCAAACCTTCATTTCCAACATACTTCATGATGGTATGAACTCTAGACATTCATACTGATAGTGTGTGGGCTCAAAATTCTTTCATTAACCAGAAGTGGAAAAGGTTATTTGATATATATATATATATATATATATAGAAACCTAATTCTGATGTTCACAAGTCCCAATGCAATTACAGAACGGTTTCTAGTGGCATTAGTGGAGCTAGCTACTATACAGGAACATTTAGCACAATCAATCGTTCCCCTGATGGACGTTATGTTGCTGTTTCAAGCCGTGGTAACTTCTACATGACCTGGGAGCCAGGGCAGGTAAGGTTCTTCACACTTATTTTAAGTCATTTGTCTGTGTGTGTGATCAAGTCCATGGATGCAATTTCTTACACAGTTACACCCAATTCCTTAGAGGAAAATATGGCAATACAGGCATATCTTTTTCTCATAGAGGAAAATATGGTACATCAAGTCATTTAAAGCTGATTGTTTCATTTACTCATAGAGGAAAAATAGCAATACAAGCATATCTTTTTCTTTAGAGATAGCATGCGGCTTAGTTTTCTGGTTTTAACAATGAGATATTTCCCAAATGTAAATTGTGGCAGCCATTCTGGCAACCACATAATAGGGCTGTTGCTAGAAGAATTCAAAACATTGGTTGGAGAGCTGATGGCGGGCTTTGGCTACTTGTACGTGGTGGAGGATTATATCTTAGCAAAGGAACAGGGGTAAGTAAATATAAGAGTTTTTCAATCCAATGTGAAACATAAACATAACTATTTTCCTTGTTCAAGTTTGCTAGTGTACAAGTGTAGCTTGAGATCACGTCAAAAAACAACACTGGCTGTATGGATGAAAATGGGCGCATCATATCGGCAAATTTTATCAATGCAGTTTCAATATAATTTTGATAATCTATTCTGGTCATACATGGCCTATAACCATCATACCTCCCCCCCCCCCCCCCCCCACTTTAGTTGGCCACTGTTCAATGCACACAATGTAACTAAAGATCACAGACCCACATAAAGAATAAAACTACTATAAATGGTTAAACCGTGAAGTATATAATACAAATTTTAACTATGGCAAAATAGTAATCCTGTTTCTAGACTTCTTATGGTTTAGGTTTAAGTTTTAGGTTTCATATTAGGATTATTAGTTCTCTATATATATGCATTGCAACTGTATTTAGAATTTTTAAGTAAGAAAAGTCATACCAATAAATGTAGTCATTTAATACTCGACATGATTTCAAGGCCAAGTACTGAAGTACCTAAGATATTTAAAGAAAAATACAACCCTGGTCCCCCTTTTCTCAGTATGAAGAGTAACCACAATTATCCCCTTATGTTTCAATGGTCTTGCTATTGGGAAACTAATGTTTCCATCTTGCTCAAAATCTTGATGTGAAGTAGGGTTGATCTGTCCAATTCTCTGTCATCCTTCATTTAGCCTCAGGCATCTTTTCTTTCTAGTTAACGGAGGAGTTTGAAGAAATACCTGTGCAGAGCCGTGGTTTTGGCATTCTTGATGTTGGCTATCGTTCACAGGTAATATCAGTGATGTATATATGAAGTCTGCTATTTTACTAATTGTATCTCTTCTTAAATGGCATACGGCTGGGTGTTGATTAGATTTGAGATGATTGTTCTAATATATATCAGAAAATGTTTTAAAGAAAAAAGGGAAAAACAAATGGAAGAAGAAATGTAAACAAAAAATATCTAGTTTCCTTGTTATCTTCGTTCAGAGATTCCTTTTTGTTCAATGTAGACCTGGACAGCTTTAAATTTGACTTTTACAGGACGAGGCTTGGGCAGCTGGTGGGAGTGGGATTTTGTTGAAAACCACAAACAGTGGGAAGACATGGATTCGGGACAAAGCTGCCGATAATATTGCTGCTAATCTTTATTCAGTCAAGTAAGGGGTGTATTTTAGCAAGCCTTGACCTAATTTTAACACCTTTTGAATTTTAGATAATAGTAGGACACAAAATTTTAAATTCATATTGGTTTTAAAAGCTACTTCTTTGAATAAAAGTCGCAAAGCCTTGTAAGGTCCCTGTTTGCAGCACTCTATTTGATGTTGCTGATTTTGAGCCTCTTCGAGTTTCGTTCTTTTTCATTTATCTTTTTTTTTTAAAGAGGTGCACTGATTTCCTATTTGACGGCTGATGAAAAACTTAAACGGTTATCTTCTTGAGTAAATACATGTTCAAGAATTACATCAGGTCCTGTATTGCAGGTTTATCAACGAAAAACAAGGTTTTGTACTGGGTAATGATGGTGTGTTGCTAAAGTATCTTGGATAGATGAATGATTCCACTCGGTAAGCTTCTCATCTGTTGATGTACAACAAAACAGCATGGCTAACGTAGAACATTGCTGTTTTTGTGTTCTGGTTCTCCTTCAAAGGATTGAATGAATTCCTTAATACTTCCTTTTTTATGAATCTTACTAGAAAGACTGAATTTCAAGGATCTAGTTTTGCAGACTATGGACTGGGAAAAAATCAGCTTTCCTGGGTCGTGGCAGGTTTCAAATGAGCATCTTTTTCAGATGTTAACCCTTTGAGAATGGAGCTCATTCAATGAGACCGTTGACTGCTACGAAAGCAAATACTTGAACAACAGTCAACGATATGGACTTTACCTGGTGTGATATTAGCTAAAGCTTTGTAATAGAAAGTGGTGTATGTCAAACTGGTGTATTATTATTAATATTATATTTTTCTTGTTATTATTATTATTAATATTATATTTTTCTTGTTATTATTATTATTATTAGCTTTATATATTACAAAGTAGCAAAGTTGCAACACCATTTAACTCTGACAACATTACAACATTAATTAATAAAAGGAAACAACAATTGGAAATAATAATTATAATATTTCAAAGGAATGTCATAAAACACTTGCTACTGTTGCTAACACTTCTAATATTTTGAATAGTAAGCAAATCATTCATTTGAAATATGATTATGATCTTTATATTATGAAATAATGTTATCAATTATACCTAAATAATACCTGTGAATTTTAATTGAATAAATATAGGACCTAACCGGAAAAAAGACAAAAAAGTGATCCATTCATAGTCAATAGTCTGGAAAACCATTAAGCTTTCTTTGGCTACGTTTTTGCTTCTAGTACGAAGTTTGCAGTTGCCCATCAAGCCGTCCAAGCTCCATTCAAAGTCCACTTACCCTCCTGGTCAGACAAATAGGAGAGCCGCCGCTGTTACTCTCCTGCTACCCCCTATCTCGTCACCTTTGCTGGTGCCTTGTTGATACGTCGCTGCCTTCGTCGTGCACCTGTCACTACCATTGTTGCTCTGCTGTGCATTCCCTCACCACCACCGCTTGTGAGAGACATCGTCGTCTCCATGCTCCTTAGATCCCACCACAATAGTTCACGTGCTCCGCCGCGTCGCATTTGTTACGTAGGCGTTGCACATTCTCTCTTCTCACCGATGGCTACGGGTTTCATGGATCTGGCGACGAGCTTCGACTTCAAGCAACAATGAACTCAAATTTGGCAACCAATTACGCCTGATTTGGTTGCGGGGAGAATCAATTGGATTTTTGGGATTCTACACATCTGATATCGAACGGTTCTTGGGGAAGGGTTTGAGGAAGGGGTGGTTGATGATGGTGGTTGTTGGAATATTGTTAGGATGGATTGAGGCGGCGGCGGCGGGCTGCAGTTTGGGGTGAGGTGCGGCGATGGGTCACCGATGGTAGCTTTGGTGGTTGGCGGTGGTTGTAGTAGTTATCACTATTGGATATGGTAACTATAACTAGTCGGCCTATGTACTATTATTGGATGGGTCGGGTAAATTCAATTATACGTAGTAATAATTATCGTTCAATATTGAATATGACATCGATAGTTTTTTTAGAGAGAAGTAAGCTTAAATAATATTATAATCAACATCAGTACATCAACACCCACAGACCATCCCCGCTTTCTCACCTTCCTCAAGTCAACATGCTGTTTCACTCCCTGATCAAACATAGAATAGACCACCCAAAAATGAGCGAGACTATTCGTTGAAGATACGAGAGATTCGAAGCTACTATCGGCCAATACAGCTTGATTGCTTCCTGAAAAACTACTACATACCAGAATGAAAACCAAAATCAACCTACCATCCCCAAAGTTAACAACAATACGAAAAAAGCTAGCAAAAATGTATCTAGCAAGTGTTCGATGAAGAGTTGAAGATTATCTGTTCCATCTTTATTCTGAAACTCCAATAAGCTTGTCAGTATTGAGTCGGGCGAGTTGTAGAGCTTCAACTCGCCTCCTTCCCGTTTTTTATCCCCTACAGCTCCACTTCCATGTTATAACCGGCGGGCTTCTCCTCCTCCTCTTGGTTGATTCTCCTATGCTTTTGCTCAGTCTTGTCATCTGCCTACTTCTGAGATGCCCCATTTGTCAAATTATTCTGACTACCAACACTTGGTCCATCCCATGTTCCCTCTTTGCCCTGAGACAAATTCTTGTCGACCGGTACAAGTCACTTGTTATCTCCGGCCTGGACACCCTCTTAGTGGCCCTTATCCACGGCCCAAATGGTTTATCTTCTCCCTTTACACACCCCTCGGGATTATGAGGGCAGTAGTTTCCTGCGTGCCCAATGATGCCACACAAGAAACAAAAACTGAGCAGTTTTTCATAACGAAAGGTGACACGAAAGCTAGCTCCTTCCTCTTTTTGTAGAAATAATTCCTTTTAATCGAAAATTTATGCTCATCAACTCTTATGAACCTACCCACAAAATTTTCAATTTTGACAACATTTTCCAATGAAAAATAACCTACTGGGATATCATAAACTAGGATCCAAAACTAGCCCTGTTCAGGGTTACCACCATATGCAAATCCCCTTCCCCGAGCTTAGCCATAATAATAAGATTTTGATAAAATCCAAGGACCATCCTCCAAAATATGCATCATATCATTCACATTGTAAAACTGAAACATATAATTTCTATTTCAAATTGTGTGATAGTAATACCTTTAACCAGTCTCCAAACGGAAACCATAATATCATGAAAAAGTAGTGAAGCGTACCAACTTTTCCAATGTAATGGTCCCAACAAACGTTAGGCTCCCATCTCTTGCTCCCGAAGCTGAGGCTTCCACTAAAAGAGTATCATCTTCATCATCCATCTCCATGTTGCCATATGCCTGGGCCAACTTGTGACACCGCACCCGAACGTCGTTGAAAATTCAATTTTAAAAAAAAATGAAAGTCTATGTATTGAATTTCCGATTTCCAAACAATTGTAAAACGATTAATGTTCTACGTAGCGCATAATTGATTATTGTACTGTTCAAACTCGTATATTAGTGTTGGGTTTGCAAATACTTATTTGGGCCTTATTAATGAAAGTAAGAGCCCAACATTACCTAAATGATGTTACATAACCTTTCAAGACAAGTTGAGGAAGGTGGGGTGGCCCAAACTTTATTTTGGGCCCAACCTGCTAAAAGTAGCAAGTATTCAAGAATGGCGTCGTAGGCCCACTCGGGGTGACCCACACGAGTAGTAGTCCAATAATATGAATGACAATGTCAAAATAAGTGATAGAATGATTAGAGAAGAATACAAATGCCTATGGTCTCATCTTTGACATTATTGAGCTAAATAATGGGAGTAGGTTGTTTCTTCTATAATATTCATCATGTAAATTATTGGGTTGATCCTACACATATTTGGGATCAATAATATGATGTAGGGAGTTGACTTGCTCCATATAAATAATAATGAGTACAAAAAGACATCTCATGACAAAGATAAAACAATAGGACCTATCTTTCCATTTTTGAAAGTATTGGTAGATATTATGGACCCCAAATGGATTGTGATCACTTGGAGAACACCCCACACCTTCTTGGCACCTGCAAAATGAAGAGAATAAGCTAGAAATTTGTGTGGGGCGGACAAAAGAGGGAGGTGGCTGAGCAAAACATTAATTGGAAATCAAATGGACCCCCTCCCCATCTTTTTGATTCGAAAGGCATCTTACTCCATCATCCCACATGCCAACCCATACTCATTGACTTTTGAGGCCAGGATAGAGGCAAGATAACACCCCCATACCCCTCATTCGGACTCCAAAGGATCTCTGGAGAGAAGAGAGCCACACAACCTAAAAGAGCAAGGAGAAAGCAAACTGCCCACAGGTTTTTCCTCCAGTGCAAGGGTTGCTTGTTTGGTGCATAACTTGAGCTTCACTCGTCCAAATAAGACGTATAATATACCAAAAGAAAGCTCTCAAGACGGGGAATCCGTGAAGGTCTGGTTTGAATCAATCGGAGTAGTTGAAGGCTTCCAAATCGTCCGAGCAGAACACGACCTCGCAGAAACGGATTTACTCGATCTTCTAAGTGAGTTTTAACCCCAAAACCTTTCCTTTCATTTTCCAAATGGTATGAACGATTTGTGGAACTATTATACACTACTCCAAGTGTATAATATGCCCTTGTTAAGTCATTTTATTGGTGTAAAGGTTAGATACTAACCTAGAGCAAATCTTGGAAAAACTAGGAAACGAGTTCGCCGGAAAACACTCATTTGAGGGGCTGTTTTCGTATCGAAGTTTAGGGGTTGAGCTAGCACTTTGAGGAGGCTGTTTAACACTCATATTTAAGCAAGGAATCAGTTCTTAATCCACCTTGACCGAAGCTTTGACCATTGGATCAAGAAGGAAAAGTTTAAAGCTCAATTAAGGTGAGGATCGACATCTAATTGCTTACAACTTGTAGGTTAAGCATGAGATTACCTAAATGCCTAAATCATAATTTTTCATGGATTATGATGCTTAAATATTGATGAACTATTGATATAGTTGACAAAGAATGAAATTGGAAATGGTTTGAGATTGTATGAATAACATGAGATTAAATGAGTTATAAATGAACTATTTTGTGAAATAGACATTTTACTCATGTATGAATTATGTGGATACATAAATGAATATTTATGTAATGAAATTGAGTACTTAAGTTGCTGCTACATACTTATAAATATGTAGAGAATTACAAAATGAGGATATTCGTATGATGACAATAATCTTAATAGTATTGAAATACTAGTTAGTGATTATTTGAAGTTGTTGATAGAATTGATCCTAAGTATTGGATTGTATGAAATGCACTTGAATGTACCTCAAGTGTATAGAATGACTTAGTATGAAGCTAAGGGTAAGTTATGGGCAGTCATTAATAATGGCCCAAGGTAGATTATTGAGATGTCAATTCTAGGCATAGGGTTGCTCAGGAATTGAACTATAATGAGGAATTAGAGCCGGACTCTATGATTTGCATGGAAATGTAGTTGGTCCGAGACCTTGCCATGTAAATTGTGATTTTCATAGAAATGTAGTTGGGCCGAGCCCTTGCTATGCAAATGTGATAGGATGTAATTGTGATTTGCATGGAAACGTAGTTGGTCCGAGACCTTGCCATGTAAATTGTGATTTGCATAGAAATGTAGTTGGGCCGAGCCCTTGCTATGCAAATGTGATAGAATGTACTTGACATAAAGGATTGCATAGAAAGGTAGTTGGGCCGAGCCCTTGCTATGCAACGGTAATGTGATGTACTCTATGAGTTGTCGTGAGTAGTAATCACGGGGAATGTGAAATGGTGATTTCTAAATAAATATGGGCCTACGGGCCGACTACTTGACTTTTATATAAAGTAAGTATATTTTTAAATGAGGTAACTTGAGGTTACAGTCATATCGTATTATCACCCTATTTGAGGGTCTTTTGTTTGAAATACTTGTTGTATATCCCTTAGATGTCATC